GACGTACTTCTGGATGTACCAGCACGTGACGTGGGCCTTCAGGTCCTCCTCCACCACGAAGTCCAGGGCGGCCTGGTGGTCAGAGCAGAGAGAAGAGCGATCAGTGCCCACAACTGGCACCGTGGGCTCAGGCAGGCTTCGGCTTTCCCGCAGGGGCAGAGCCGGCTGCCCCCCGCACCTGTTCCCCTGGGTCTGCGGTGGAGGCCAGAGGTGACAGTTGGGAATCGAGGCAGAGGAACCCCCAGGGAAGAGAATGAGCCAGGGTTGGATCCACCCTGGGAGAACCTGCCCCATGGTCTCCACAGCCAGCCAGGGTACCCACCCCAATGCCTCTTGTCCACTCGTCCTCCACGGGACACCTCCTCTTGGAAGCTCCCCTGGTTGGCCCCCAGTGAGATCACTTCATGGGGATCCCAAGGCAAGCACCGGGGGGCGATGGGGGTCCCCGGCAGGTCTAGTGCACCTCCCTGCCCCCAGTGCCTCGCACACAGTGGCGTCTAATACACGTGTGCTGAAGCAAGTGGAGGACAGCCTTGGTGGGGCCGCTGACCTGACGGAAAGGAGGCTGCAGGGCCGAGCGCCGACTATGCGGTACCTGGGCTTCCTGGTCGCTGTCCGACCACCCGGCCTCCCTCCACCATGGATGTGTGCCTCGCTGTCTGCACCTGATCCCTGGGTTTCAACCTGAGACCCTCTAGTGACAGGATTCCAGGCTCTTCTCCCACTTTGCAGATAAAGAAACGAGGCCGTGGGTAAGCATGGGGGCTCACCTCCTGTCACCCAGGAACCAACTCTCGGAGTTTCCTCGCCAGTGATACCACAGACGAGCTCACAGGTGGCCGAGTAAGAAAGGCAAGGACATGGGGGCGGGGGGCGGTGTGGAGGCAGGAAGAGTCGGCCGACGGGGAGCCTGGGACCCAGGAGCCGCCTTCAGGGGAACTGAAGCTTCTCCCTGCTCCAGGCCCCAGGCCCTTGTAAGCCCAAGCCTGAGCTCCAAGCAGCCTGGGGTTTGAGGTGCTCCACGGATGCAGGTGGGCACGAGCCAACTGACTGAACACCCACTTTCCCACTCGTTCAACACGGGTTCACGGAGCACCCATCATGTGCTGGGTGCTGGGCCCCGCTGGGTGAGGCCTGGAAGCCCAGCGGGTGTCAGTGGCCATGGAGGCTGGGGCCCAGAACCGCAGCCATGTGGGAGGAGCCGGAGTGGGCCGCAGAGGCACACGGGGGCCGTCCACGTTCTGGCCGAGAAACAGGCAGCCAGGGCAAGGTCTCCTCTGGGCTGGTGGGGGCAGCTCCTATGCCCCTACCTTGGCGAGGTGCTTGGCAATGCCGCGCCCACGGTAGGCGTCGGGAACCTCCGTGTGCTGCAGGTCCACGATCCGCTTGCCCACGTACTCGTACAGCAGGACCGCCCGGTCGTGACATCCTGCGGGCAGGGGGTGGGCAGGTGAGGCCTGGGTGGAGGGTCAGGTGCTGGAGCTGGAGCTGGAATAACCTCTCTGCGCCTCAGTCTCCTCATCCGTCGGGTGCGGATGGAACAGAACTCCCCTCGCTGGCGTGTTTGGAGGATTAAAGGAGGGGATTTCCGTAAAGCGCTCAGAACGGCGCCCAGGGCGCTCCAGGCCTCTTGTGGGCTTCTGCTGCTTTTGTCAGGCCCAGCCCAGGCCCCTGGCAGCCCCTCCGAAGCCCAGCTCTCTGCGTCCCCACCCGAGCCCCTTCCCAAGGGCCTGGGAGACCCAGGAGTAGACAGATGTAGAGCAAGGTCCCCACCTAAACCACAGCCTGCAGAGACCAGAGCAGCACCACCCGCCGGACCCCGTGGAGGATCACAGGGAGCGGCACCGGTGTCCGCAAGAAGGTGGCACTGGGCACAGGTGGCAGGAACCGGCCTCCACGCCCTCTCAGGCCTGGAGCTCACCGTCTGCCGCAACCTCCTGGTGAAGGAACACTTAACTGGGGTTCCTCCAACACAGTCTTCAGGTCCCCATCTGCCTGCCTGTCCCCCATCTGCCTGCCAGCCATCCGTCCATTCCTGTTTCCCTCAGCAAGTGTTTACGCAGCCCCAGGCTCTGTTTCTGGAGAGGGGTACACAGCCACAAACAAGCCAGACAAAGAGCCCTGCCCTTGCGGAACCGCCTAGAGGAGCAGACAGAGCAGACAAGAAAAGCAAGTTAATGGTGGGGGCAGGGAGGGGGTGCTGGCCGGCGGGAGGAGGAGAGGGAGTAGGTCTGTGCTGTCTAGGGAACAGCCAGTGCGAAGGCTCTGAGGCAGCAGTGGGCAAGGAGGGTGGAGGCAGCGATGGGGCAGGTGCCTCTTAAGCCCCCGTGGGCTGGGAGCCACGGGAGGGTCCTCGGCAGAGGAGGCCGGATGAGACTTGTGGTTTCACAGGGTCCTCTGGCGACTGTGAGGACACATAGGGGGGCAGGAGCAGGCAGACCAGTGGGGCGGCTGCCCTGGTCCAGGTAAGTGACGGTGCGGGCGCTGCCAGGGGAGACGGGGGAGCGGAGAGGGATCAGATGCTGACGTTGTTTTGAAGGTGCAGCCAGCAGGATGGGCTGGTGGCTTGGACGTGGCAACAGAGACGAGCTGAGGACAACTCTAGGGTTTCTAATTTCAGGGAGTTGCAAGTGTGAGAAGGGAAAATAAGCTGGGCTGGGGTCGTCGGGGGAGCCCCTCCCAGGAGAAAACCTCTGAGCTGAGAGGCAGCTGGGGAGCAAGGCACCAGCTGAGGGAAGAGCAGGGGAGGGCTGGGCGGAGGGCACAGCCAGTGCAAAGGCTCTGAGGTCACAACACACAATTCACACTGCCCCTGAAAGAAAACAGGTCAATGCCAACTGTCTCTCTCTCACTTTCAAAAGCAAGTTGTATCTCACGTTTTTCACTTAAAGGCACACAGAGGGCTCGTGCCTGAACGCTGCCAGTCTGAGGTGAGCCTCCCAGGTGGGGACTCACAGGCTGAGGGGTCCAGACGGCCAGTCCAGGCTCTCACAGCCCCGGTGAGCAGGCCTGCGGGTTCTCCCCAAAGCTGCAGGAGTGGGGCTACAGTTCCTGGCCCCACTTCCAGATGGGGAACTGAGTGCCAGAGATCCAAGTCTCACAGCACGTCTACAGTGAGCCCCAGACCCCGAGCCCAGGCCTCTCCTCTGCTCTGTCCCCAGGCCTCTGCCTGGGCAGCTCCCTCTGCCTGGAATACCCTTCCCCCCTCAAGACCAGCTGAGGGGCCTGGCACCTCCTCCTTGTGGCCTGACTGTCACTCTGCTGGCCTCACCCACCACCTGGCCATCGCAACCTGCCTGGCTGCACGACATGGGACCCACGCCTGCTGAGGCTGATTCGGCTGGCCCAGGACAGGAAAGCAGAGTCACCAGTCACTGAAGGGGCTGCCTGCCTGGCCCGCATTTAATTACCCAAAACTCACTGAGGGCCTGGTATGTGCCAAGCAGGGTGTCAGGTGCTGGTGTCAGTGAAGAAAATGGACAGAAAGCTCCCTCATAGAGAGACAGATAATGAATATGGTTTTAAACAACAGAGGACTCAAAGGGGATTAGCTGGAGAACCAAACAGCAGGGAAGGGGTGAGGGGAGAGAGGACACACAGGGAGAAGTGAGGGATCCAAAGGGAGACGTGGGGGATGGGCCGTCCACTGGGAGAACAGCAGGTGCAAAGAGCCTGAGGTAGAATGTCCGGGCAGCAGCAAGGAGGCGGGCAGGGCTGGGCCCCATGGGCGGGGGAGGGAGCCCCTCTGGGGGCCTTGCAGGCCCCTGGGCAGCCCTGTTCGCACTGTTGCTATCTCCGCAGGGAAGGAGGCGGGGGCCCGGGGCCCTCGCCAGCGTGCTCCTGTTCTTCTTGGAGTTGCCACTTGGGCCAAATACAGGCCAGATCCCAGGATGGCCTGGGAGATTCTCTGCCCTGCCCCACCCGGCCGGCTCCTGGGGGGCCACACGGGCTTGGTCACCACCATGTCCCCAGAGCCCAGCCCAGGGCAGACACCCCAGAAACACCTGGCCCACAAACCCCTGCTGTCCTCTCTCTGCCCCACACACCGGAGGAGTCGGGGGCTGTGGCTCCTGGTACACCCAGCGCCCTTCCCAGAGCCTGGCCCCGTGCCCTGGGGGAGACCAGGATGAGAGCAGGTGCATTCGCACTTGCGAGGCCGGGCCCAGCCCTCTCCATGCACTGGTCCTCCCGAGAATCTCACGTTGTGGGTAGGACCCTCGCAGCCCCATCTGCAGGCAGGGAGACGGGCCTGAGAGGCGATCGCATAGTGCAGTGGTGTGTGCAGCTGGCTAGGGGAAGCGGGGGGTGGTACTCAGGAGGGTCTTCTGGCTGGAGGAGGAACAGAAGGGCTGCCAGGGCTGCATGGGATGCATGTGAGGAGGGAAAAGGCATTAATGACCCACCTCCCTGTGCTGGACTGGGGAGGAAACGGACCCAGCGGACAATCCTGGAGCACCTGCCTGTGGCCCTGTGGCCCAGCACGGCAGAGACGGCCACCCCCCCGGCTCAAGCCAGGATCCTTGGGACGCTCCTTGTAGCTTGCTCAGACTCTGGTCTGATACTGCAGTAGGTCCATGGGCATAACTTTCAAAACATGCCTGGAATCTGGCCACTGTTCACATCTCCCCGGGCCTCCTGGATCCTGTGCCTCCTCGCTCAGGGCTCTGGTCTGGCCCCACTGGCGTTCTTGCTGCCTCTCCCATACCCCCGCCTCTATCGGCTGCTCCCTCCGCCTGGCAGTCCCTCCCCCACTGAGCCTCCACGGGTTGGCTCCTGCTATTTGCTATTCGAGGTTGAGGCCACATGTCACCCCCAGAGCCCCCCCAACCGCCAGCAGAAGGTCAGCCTCACCCCAGGCACCACAGCCACCCTGTCTCTGGCCTCTGGGCCCATGGATACCAAAATCTGCACTCACGGGTCAGGGGCTGGACCCCAGGCCCTTCTCCCAGCTGGGTCAGTACTTGCCACACGGGGGCCACAGGGACAAGCCAAGGCAGGGCAGGGCCCTGGGTCCAGTCCCAGCTCTGCCAGGTGACCTCAGACCTCACTGTCCTGGGCTCCCCTCCTGGGCTCAAAACCACATCAATTTTACAGGCTGTGGCCAGTTTTGAGAAAAGTTAAAGCATCTTGGCTATGAGGGGCCTTCTCTGGGCCTCTCCACCCTCGCGTCCTCCACTGGCCCCAGTCCAGTACCAAAGGCCCCAGCAAGTTGCCAGGGAAGTGGTCACCGAGAAACGGCCCTCCCTGGCAGGCAGGGAAGAGCAGTGGGGGTCCTGGGTGGGAGACGGGGGGGGGGTCTCCACAGTGGGTGCTGACAGACTGCCCTGCTGGCAGCAGCCCTGAGGGGGGCCAGCAGTCAGAGCGCCTCCCGTGCAGCGAGGGCACTGAGGCAGAGGCCAAGCCAGGACCGGGTCTGCCCCCCCCCCCCGGGAGCTGAGGAGCAGGAGCAGCAGGAGCCCACCGGCTTTCCGGGCGTCTCCAGCTGCAGAGCCTGGTTTGCGGAGGGGCCGCCTGCTGGTGGCTCAGAGCTGGGAGCATGAGAGGGCAGACCCTGGGCCGCCCAGGAGAGCCCACCCACCCACCCAGCTGGTCCCCTCCCCACAGCAGGCATCCCCCGTCCACCCTGCCCAGGTACCCGCTCCGGCATGTATCCCAGAACGCTGCCTAGGAACTGGGATCTGAATGCAGGAGGTCTGTGGCCTCTGGGGCCTCAGTTTCCCCATCTACAAAGTGGGGGCTGGGGAAGACACTGAAAGCTCTGACAGGACCCTCTTCTTGCGGCAAGTGGGACACTTGGCCCTGACTGAGGGAAGAGGGGAGGCTGCCCAGGGGTGGGGGCTCAGTTCTGGCTTAGCAGTCCACTGGCTGTGTGCCCTGGTCTCCCCACTGAAGAAGTAGGGATACACCAGCTAGTGTTTCAGAACCTGGATTTGGGGGCCAGACAAGCCGGGGAGCCGGCGTCCTCCCACACCCCATCCCGGGCCTGTTCACACTTCCGTCAACGGTGGTCTGGGGGCTGGCCATTTCTCCCCACTCCCGCTCACACTGCTGGGACTAGCGCAGCAGCGACCACCCTGCTCCTGCCCTGCCCTCAGGGCAGTCAGAGGGAGCCTGCGACATGCTGTCCACCTCTGCCCAGCACTCTCCCAGGCACCCACCTCACCCAGAGTCAAAGTCAAGTGCTCACAATGCCCTCTGCTGCCCCGAGCCACCAACCTCCGAGACCTCCTGATGTCCTCTGCTGCACGTTGCCTGTTGCCGGGCCTCTCTCCATGTCCGTCCCCTCCCTGCTGCTCCCAATACACAGCAGGCACACCAGGGCCTTTGCACTCACCACTCCTGCTACCTGGCGTGCTCCTCCTGCTGGAGCTCCCTTCCCTGCCTGCTTCCTGGGCAGCCCTCCCAGACACCTGACCCTGAGCAGCCCTCCCCTGATGCGCCGGCCCTCAGCTTGCTTCTCACCAGCCTTGTTCTCTAGGGCGCTCTGTCTACATGGAATAACCCACGGAACACAACTACATGTGATAATGCCCACCGCCCCCTAGACGGTCCGTCCCACGAGCCCCCGGAACCTAGAACAACGTCTGGCACACCAGGCGCTGAATGAGCACTTGCGGGTGAGTCCTGGTTCTTCTGCCTCCAAGATGCAAGACCCCGGTCGCGTAACGGTCTCGCTGCCTCAGTTGCCTCCTCTGTGAAACGGACAGAGCAGCTTCCCCTCACCCTGCCCAGCGATGCCGGGTGACGCCACGTGCGTGGGGCCTGCCCAGAGCCCAAGAACTGCGTGCAGCCTGCCGCTCAGCCCTCTCGCCTCCCCAGGACCAGAGCTGGCTGGAGGCCCATGGGCACAAACCCGCCCCTGGAGTCATGGTGCTACTCTGCCTCTCAGCCTCAGTGTCCACACCTCTCAATGGGCACGGTGAGCCAGACCTTGGGGCCGCTGCAGGTCAGGAGCCACCGCAGCAGGCCGTTCCCCTGCCCAGCAGAGGCCCAGGCACAGATGACTCCTCTCCCACCTCCCTACATACCCCAAGACCAGGCTGGGCCTGGCTGCACAGCCTCCACCTTGCAGGCTGGAGAGGAGCTGCTCGCTGGGTGTGGCTGGGGACCGGGTCCACCTGACAGCTGACTATCTAGGCAGTGGGCGACAGAGGGGCCAAGGTTAGAAAGCTGGCTGGGCACATCCAGCCCTGACCACAGCCACCTGTAGAGGACCTGTAGAGGGGTCCTTTGGAAAAGAAAAAGGAAAACCCCAAACATTCCTTTTCTTCTGTTTCTGTGTCTGGGGCCTCTTGAGCCCTCCATGGGAATCAGAGGCCTCTCTGGAACCTCAGAAAAGAGAATTTGAAAAGCCATGAGGGCCCCCTTGCATAAGAGCAGCCAGGGCCCTGAGTGTCAGGGCCAGTGGGGCCACGGTCAGCACCAGGCAGCAGGACCTGCCTCAAGGTGGATGGAACACGGTGTCTGGTTCTGGCCAGACTTTGCGAAGTGACAAGTCATTCCCTTCCTGCGTGGAGCCTCAGTTTACTCCTCTGATGTGGGGTGGTGATGCCAGCACCACCAGGACATTGTAACAGGGATGTGCTGGGACCCTGACTCAATGCACCGCATAGCCCAAACGGGCGTCCGGGGGATGTCCGTGCTCCAGGCCCCAGCCCCTGTCCTCACTCTGCCCCAGCTCGCTGCCTAACCCCGGGAAACCTCTCTCTCTTCTGGGCCTCTGCTTTCCCTTCTCAGAAATGGGCAGTGTCCTTCCAGGCCCTTCCAGCTTGGACAGTGCCACAGGGGGTCCAGCTGGGAGGGAAGAAAAAGTTATGAATGCAGAAGACGTGGGATACAGGGAGTTCAGTCGTCCATTGCATAATTCTGCGTTTCACCACAGACCTCTCAGGTGGAGGGAGTGTGGGCTAGTAAGTGGTAGAACCTTTCTTTACAGGAAATGAGGACTTGACTTTGCTTTCTGGTTTAAAAAGTGATGACGATCTACCAGCACTTACTACCGGCCACAGGCGCTGTGCTGAGCCTTTACTCCTACGGGCATCTCATCCTTACAACCAGCCAGAAGTTATGCACTGATGTTATTCCCACTGTAGAGATGGAGAAACTGGGGCACAGAGATGAGGCAACTTGGCCAAAGTCTCACAGCTGCCGAGTCTGATGGTGACACCATCCCCCGTCCCCGCCCCGGCCCCGGGCAGGAGCCCCTCTGTCAGTCAGCCCCAGGTCTGCCCAGAGGACTCTTTCAGCCCCCTCCGTGCAGAAAAGCAAAGGTTTCCAAGGCAGCCAGAAGCCACTTAACACCAAGGAAAGGGGAGGTCGCGGCCCAGCCGCTCCCCAGGACCGCAGCAGCAGCCCGGAAAACAGCCAGGCCGAGCAGGTGCGGGTTCCCCAGGGTTGAGGCGGGACCGGGGCTGCCCGGCGCCGCCTCCGCCTCCCCGGGGCCCGGTCCGCCCCGGGTGCCCAGCATGGGCGCGCCTCTCCCGGCCGCCCGCCCCCGGCCCGCGCCCAGCTGGGGGCACTCGGCG